ATCCTCATTCTAACTAATCATTGAACAGTAAAAAGCCCAAACATTTAGTTAATCGAGGTCTTTATATTAAAGTTAGAGATGCACCCATGTTAAATAATTCGGTGTTTGAACACCATAACCTTCTTCTATCTTGTAATTCTAGCTTGAAGCAGTTAATGCATGGTTGACAGGACAGGTCAGTTAGAGTGACAGAAAATTAATTGGCAACTGTTTCGATAACAAATAGTAGTTTTAGTAATTTCCCCAGTTTCATTAGAAAAGAATATTAGATGGAAGTCAAATAGTGGGGCCTTTCTCTGTATCAAAGCTGACCTTCTGAATCCCTGTGGGCCTGACTTCTAGTCGACTAATAGCCCCACAGTCCCAGCTCATCACCCCTGGAGTGTTTTTTGTAGCCATGAAGATGAGCCTCTCCAGCAGCTCTCCAAATTATCCTCAAGACTCACATCTAGTGGTTGTCATGACTCAGAGGGGGAGTTCAAATTAAAAGCACATTCAGCTGCACTGACAAATCTAAAGAAGGCATTATTGCAAAAACTGACTGTGTGACTCGTACCTAATGGTTGGCAAGTAAGTGCTTCGCCTGACATGTCTAAAGTTGATCTGGTCATGAAGACTTCACAGAGATTTACAGAAATGTTTCAGCTGCAGGCACTGAACTTAACAAGCTAAATAAGGTCCTTAGATAGACATTAAGGATGGAAAGAGAAACTTTGCAGAGAAGTTGGGCATTTTTTCAGAGGTTCTGAGGTGTTTCCTCTTACTAAAGGTGCCTTCTAAAAATACCTGCCTTCCCAGATCTCTTTCATTAAATACAGTGCGTTTCCTGGCACTCCTCTGTTGACTAACTGTTTTGCAAGCCGAGTGACTGGTCAGGGTTAGTAAGAGCCCGCATTGCACTCTAATCCCTCCTGTTAAGTGATTGTCTTCATAGCTGTTAGTTACATGTATACACTGTAAGATGAATCGTTACAGATTTATTTCGCAACACTGGAAAAAAAAAACAACATAGCTGGTCATAAAATGAACAACTTGGTGCTTCCTTTGGCTCAAGCGCTGGATGTTTGCAGGCACAGTTTAAAACCTGGCTGTGTACCCACATGCCACCAGACAGAACTTCCAGCCATATGGACCAATCTTGATTCTCAACATATTCCAACCCACTCCAATCTAAACTTTAATAAACACCTTTAAAACACTCCTGAATTTTAGTGCTGCTTGTACAAGTTGCAATCAAGTTGAGCAGAATTCTTGAGTGTTCATGCACAGAAAAACAAAGGACAAGCACCAAAGTTAGGATGAATCTCTCTTTATCTAGAGAGCCTGCACTGAGACTTAAGGCTAGGTCTTTCAAGTGTAATGGCCTGATAAGATACCACAGTCCCAGATGATGTCACAGTAAAACAGTATTGTACTGATCCAGTAGAATACACACAAACCTCGTGCTTGTTTTGAACATTTCCTTTTGGCACAAGGAGTTAAAGGTTTGCAGTTTTCCTCATAAACAGTTGAACAACACAGAAGAATAGAGGCACTTACTACTGACATGCACGCTGATAAGGCCAAACAGGACCGGTGACGGGAAATGTTTGGCAGCATTCAGCAATTAGCTCATTCTCACTCGATCCTTTCACATCAAAAGGGTGTGACTGGATATCATAAATAAGGGCTACTTTACCTTAAACATCCCATTAAATCCATGTGTCTTAAAATGACAATAAGCCCAAAAGGGTGGCTTACCATGTCAACGTAAAGCCACGAACGACACTAAAGGACCACTACAGTGTCGTCAACAATGGACTTGTTAAGGTTTATCCTTATTAGTAATTGAGTAACAGCAACACCCAACATCATGCCAGTTGCACAAAGCCTTGCAGCGGGAATGAACTACTATTTACAAGTCTCTGAACAAACTGTGGGTTACGTCACTTTCAGCAAGTTTCTCTCACAGGCTCAACGCAGACGTAGCTCCTCATTTGTAACCTAAGTTTCGGTGTTAATCGGATTTTACCATGACGCAAGTCCCCCATTCACTTCTGGCCTCGAACACAAACAGTAGTCATGATAAAGAGCGTGTGGAAACAATACAAAATGACAAACTGCAGCTCTCCACCTAATCTGTACCATATTTGGTTTTGGGGCAGTGTTTCAATGGCAGTTCAGCTAGAGCATTAAGTGAGACCTCGCTTCAGGACCTTCATATGCCATACATAGAGCGTGGACTCAAAGGTCAGAAGCTAGAGACCGGTGACCAGACATGGGGCAGAGGATGGATAAAGCTGTGCCTGACCTCACACTGCCTATGTGGATGGAGCAGGACAGCTGACAGGCCTTAAACAGTCCCCAGCCCACACTTCCTATTGGCTGCCTGTGACATCATGCTTCTATCCCCATTTTTTCACCTCCTCTTTTCAGGGTGGGTGGAGAGTTCAGTTCTTCCTCCTCCTCCTTCTCCCCCGTCTCTCCTTCTCTTCCCCCCCATCCCACACACACAAATACACTCAACTTTCTTTGCCCCTTTTAGGGACCTCAGCAGCTTCAGGAGGGAAGAGAGAAGAGGAAGGAGGGAGCAAGAAAACGAAAGAAAGATGAAAGAACGATTAAAGCATGTAGTGTGGAAGCTTTGCTAATTTTATCTACATTTCTAGACAGAGGTGTGTGTGTGTGTGAGAGAGAGTTTCCTCCAACTTGTGTGGCAGGTACATGGCTTGTATGACATCAAACGTAGCACCACTGCCACATCACACTTGTTTATCGTTAAAGTGCTCCCCGATGGGTCAGCGTGTGGTCTGTAAGCATGAAGCAGAATCTGCATATAAGCCATAAAGTTTTCTTTTTCCTCTCTTTCCTAGGCTCTCGGACTTGAGCAAGTCCTTCCTAATTAACACATGCCAAATGAGGAGTTTTGTCTGGCGTATCGTGCTTCATCGTGTTATTGTAAAACTCTGGGTTTGACATTTTCACTAGAGGACAGCTACAGCTGGGCTTTTTCTTTTTCCAGTAATGAAACCAAAAGATTATTAAAGCAAAAGAAAACTAAAAAAAGAGAGAGAGCCACAAAGGGAGACAATAAGAGGAGGCATATTGGGAAATAATTGCTTAATATAAAAATATGCGCTGTAAAAAGAAGAAGAATCAGACTGTTTTTTTAGTGTTTTAAACTAGACATGCAGCAGAGGGATGCGGCTTTTTAGGGAGATTTAAAACACAAAAATGATCAAGACATGCATTCTATGCGTGATGAGGGACAGTGACTAAGGGCTGAGATTCCCCTGCTCTGCGACAATCAAACCTAGTGTTTAGTGCCGGATCACATCCCTCGGCGATAGATTAGCTCTAAGTCGGATTAAGGAGGAGTCAGTGCATATAGGAGAGGTGAAGTGTCATCAAAGCGCTGCAAGAGGACTCAAAGACGCTGCAGTGGTTAGCAAGCATGAGGCAGGAGGGTTTATTTGGGACTTACGGGAAGATGGAGAAAGATCTGGGGGCGGGTTTTTTATGTTGGGCACAAAGCACAAAAACTACATTTGAACACACTTTCAGCTCGTATAGCTTGTCCTGCTATGACACCAAAAGCTGCAGCTTAATCAAAAAGAAAACCTCCACAGGTGTGAACACACTATAAACCTGGAGCATTCAGAAGTCGACACAGAGGGCAGAGAGAACAGATGCCAGTGCAGAGGCTGGGAAATGGACACAGGGAACAAGACTGCTTCCAGCTACAGGAAGCGTGCTAAGCCCCCACCATGTTAAACATAAGACTTCCAGAAATGATTGAAACAAAATGCCCATGCTTTCTCCCCACCAAACAAACAATAGTCTCCTTTGTGAAAGCCCGTGGCTACCAACAGTCAGGGGAGATATAAAGACACAGTTTAGAAAGAGCGGGCATGTTTCCCCCCTTCTTTTTTGAGGCTGCAGACAACTCTCTCCTTCAGTTTGGACAGACGGGGACATAAATGTGGGGCGCACTAGTGTGGCCCACTTAGGTGCCCCCTGCTTAGAAAAAAATGCTTTTGTTTTCCTGTTGTTACAGGCCTCAAACAACTCAAGGAACAAGGCTGCAACAGTAGCGGAGCACCAGCAGGGGGTCAACGTCATGGTAGAGAGGCACGCTAACACAGCAGACATGTTACACACATTCATTGAGATTGTAAACACAGGGCTGAGGAACCAGTTTTTTCCCCCCTTGTTGTGACCTAAAAATCTGTTGTATTCCATTAATGGTTCAGTGAGCGTCTTCTAAAGCAACACAGCATATCTACCACAATCTCTCACACCATCTGAACTCTGATATTTCAGACTTATTATCATTCCTTCAGCTCCATTTTAATCAGCCCCAGGGTTTCCCCGAGCAGATCACTTTACACAAGTTTTCTGTCATCCTTAAAAGATCCCTCTGCTCCTCTGACACACATGTGGTAACCTGCGTAAAGAGGACACTGCACCAACTGCAAGCACAGGATGAGCCGATTCTATATTTACCCGAGAACTGCTGTATCTCTGCTGTCCCCAGATGCAGTAATTCATTAGTTATTTCATAAATGCCTTGTTAACTCTTATTGGTCTGAATGCTGCTAAACTGAACATCATAAACTGTAATAAATGGGGGTCCCGAGGCTATATTTTTTCTCTTCAACAGAAGCACTGGATCAGCTCTGGAATTACTTGAGAGAGAAAAAAATCATATGCCTCATAACACATGACTGTAGTATTTAACTCCACCGAGGAACATGCAGATGATAACACAACGAGCCCTTTATCCTACTTGAATTGTGTGTTAAATATTAATCATCAATAATGCAACATATTCTTATTCTACGTAACATCAACTGGTGTTAAAATGCTGCCCACGCCCCGATTAAGACCATAACAAGACACCATGGGAGAGTAGAAATCGCACCTGCTAGATCAGTGATTTCCGCCGGAATGCACTTATTCAAACATGAATGTGCGCACAGATATACACACACACACACACACACACACACACACACACACACACACACACACACACACACGCATACTTTTGAACAGCTGGTGCTGGGCTGGCTGGCTACATACAGCCAGGGGACAGATAGCTGGCTGAGAGAGGGAATGGGAGCACGTTGCTCAATCAATGAGCCATCAATCACACACTTACACACACACACGAACACAAATGCATACACACAGCAAGAAGGAGCAAAGACATGAAACAGGAGACCATATCCTTTAACTACCACTCAAAAGAAAGCCATCAAAGCGCTGGCTCTGGCTCCAGGCCTTTTTCCATGGCCAAATTTCCAGTCACTGCTTTGTCTTGTGGTGGTTTCATTAGAGCTACTACTAGACTCCTCTGTGTGTGTGTGTGTGTGTGTGTGTGTGTGTGTTGCACCACAGCAGTTATCTGCTATCTAACTAGCTCACTGCTGCGGGGTTTCTTTTCTGCACTCTGCTGAGCTCCCAGACAGCAAGAGGTTGTGAAAAGGCTGGCAAGGAGGCGGCAGCAATCATATAGTAAGTAGCACCTTTCTGTTGTCTGTTTGGTTCCTGTAAGGAAAAAAGGCGAGTGAGGAAGTAAACAAAGCACGTCAGAGAAGGGACTCAGCAAGTGATTACTGTTATTTATAGCTACTCTTTTCCTGCTTTGGCAACACCTGTACAAGCGGTACGTGATAACTTATACCACTTAAAGGGGGGAAAAGAATACATGGCACAAATTGCAGTTAGTTACTCTGAATAGTTGGATTATTTTAGTCGAAACATTGATTTTTATTTGAAAATGAACAACCTAAACACACCAACACACACACATTCTCGTTTTGATATCTTAGTGAGGACATCTAATTGACATAATGCTTTCCCTAGCTGCTTACCCTAACCCTAACCATCAAAAACGAATGCCTAACCCTAACCCTCAGCCTAACCTAATTGCAACCCTGACACTAAAACCAAGCTTTGAGTCTCAAAAATGCCTTCAAACTTGTGAGGACAGGCACTTTTGTCCTCACAAGTGACTGTTGGTCCTGACAAGTATAGTAATTTTTGATTTTTGGTCCCCACACAGATGTCTAAACAGGTACACACACACACGCCTATAATTTTACCAACAGGAATAATAATAAAGTTTTCAATGATAAATGCGGATATCCATCCCTGTTCTTAAATCAATACTTACATCAATTCCTGAACACCCATGAAATCAGGTGGGCCTGTGTCCATTAATTGTTAATTGTTTATGTAAATGTACACAGCGGGAATACATCCACAAACAAAAAAGTAATGCGCTTGTAAATCAGAGTCTTCAAATGATTTTAATAACAGTCCAAACATGACTCATTTGGGATAATTCCAAAATATTAGTTCTTATATTTGAAAAGCTAGAACGGGTTAGCGGTGTTATTTTATCGGTGACTCAAATGGTTAACGGATTATCTCAGTTAAAGAGAAGCAGGAAAAGGCGAGCGGCATCGCCATCAGCAGCAGGATCAGCAGCGTTAATGTACACAGGGAGGAGTAAACAACACCGGAGGACGTCCTCGTGTCCCTGAGCCGCAGTGACAGCATGTCCTCCTGTCTGCACTGTCATTCTGTGTCAGCTCTCATTACCTACAGCACTGCACGAGCAGCATTGAGTGACTGACTGGCTAATGGCACCTGCTACCTACTGCTTTATGGATGACAGCAAGGGGCTGGGAATCGCCATGACAACGCAGAGATTGCACTATGCCTGACCTCGATCACGTGGAATAATCTGTTCGTTTAAACATTATTACTCATTTATGCAACACAAGAAACCGATTTCAGTTGATTTCTTATGTGTTAAATATCTATAATTTACACAGAAGACACAGCAACCACTCAACTGCTGCCTACATCGGACTAAGTTAGGTCCAGTTCACATAGTGGAGGTTCGGCTTCGCCTTGCCATCTAAACCTAAGTTGTGTTTATTCGCCTGCAGCCATATTTCTGTGACAGCAGATATAGGGGAATCACAAACGAGAGAATAAGCTCCGTCACTTGAAACAAGACTCCCCTTGGATCGTCATTTTTCCTCTAATGGATAACAGAACAATAGATGCCTCTAACTCACCACTAAAGGATCACTGTGCCGTCATTGTACAAGGGGTACAAGGGTCAATTTCCACAGCAAAGAAGAAGAGAAGATGCACTCTCTGTGATCCCCAAACTCTGCTTTGTTTTCTTGGGTAACATTTTTTTTGTTGAAGATTTTAAAGACTTTCTGCAAATGATATCTTGAAGACAGTAAAATGAATTAACTAAAGAAAAGAGATTTACTAAAAAATGATTCAGTATGCTTGTATACCGTCTCTTCCACCTGTCTAAAACTATTTCAGCTGGAAAAAGGGGAAAAAAGGTGCTTATATCTACTGGAAGATTTTAATTAAATAACAATGCAAATAGTAAAGTTGTGTGGTGAGCCCCTGGGAATCCACTTAAAAACAAAACCCAACAAGAAAAAAAAACACTGGGGCAGTTTCACTGTGAGACAACAGGAGAGCACAGAAATGATGTTTACATGCTTCCACAGCACATGGTTAAACAAGTGCAAAATCAAGATGTCTCTCCTAACTGTAACTGGCGAAGTTTACAAAATGTTGAGGTGTGCCTGTTACTCCTCAATCTGATAACTGATCTGCAGTGGCTGCTAAGCGAGCAGCTTCAGACGGAAGCACAACCCAAATTGGGCCTTTGTTCCAGACTGCACAGTGTCTCAGCAGAGGCATGAACAAAACACAACACAGACGCACACGAAGCCTGAACAGTCACTAACGCGCACACACACAAACACACATAACTAACTCTACCACAAGCGCCTCTGAGCCGCGTCTCACCCACCCACACACATATACTAAACACAACCTAACCCGCCTCCCCTCTCACTCTCTCTTGCTCCTTTTATTCCTCTCGGTCTCCCGCTCCCTCCCCCCTAACCCTCATTCATAAAATGGCTGCTTCACAACTCCAATTCCTGGCATGGAATTTATGGATAAGGGGTCAGGAGCAGCAACAGGCCAGGGGGGACTTGTTAGTTCTATTTTTCCCCTCCCATCTTTTTCTCCTCCTCCTTTTTTGGATAAAAAAAACCAACCTACACCAATGTGATTTGTCCACCTAATTCTCCTCCACACATATGCCAGCCTTCCTCATCTCTACCCCAACCCTCCCCTTTCCTCTTACCCACTCCCCTCCAAAACAAACCTGATACCCTTGTAGCCTAGCAGGGAAACTAAAGCTATGCGTCTGGCAGAGGAAGGCAGGCACGAAGTGGAGAAGGGGCAGGAGCAAGTGCTGGTGGCTTCTCCTAAGAGGCCAGCAAGAGGGGAACGGGGACAATCTCAGGTTCCATCCCTGGAACACAACCTCCATGTTTTTGCAGTTTTACTACATCACACGGACACACATGCAAACTCCCAGGGCATGGGTTAAAAACAACAGGACATTGATTGCTATAGCATTTGCTCCGAAAACACCAATCTATGTTAAAGGAGCAACAAAATGGGGCAGCTTGAATGGCCGAGAAACTCATCCCAACCTGCCAACACATACCTGTGTTGGTATGAGACAAAAGTGTGTGTGTCAAGGTAAATTTGGGCCTATTGCATCAGTTTTCCTCACGACACCACTCTGCGATATCTGCTTCTGAAATCACACAAATTAAAACTCACTCAATAACAGCACACAAACCCTGAGGTGCATGTCAGGTTACACCGTAGGTAACAGCATAAAGTTTCAGATGGGGTTGCGGTTACAACGTAGCTACGGCGTAGATTTCCCGCTGAAGCATTAAACCCCAATAACAATCCCTCTCCTCCTCCCAGCGTCTCCCCTGCGCTGCCCCTGGAGCCCCCAGCAGAAGACGGTACGAGCAAGGAAAGGTCGAGGCCACGAGATGAACGGTCCCACCTCTTGCTGGAATGAGCCTTAATTTGATAGGGGTTGGGCTGAGCCAGGACTGTGGTAAGACATGCACATGTGCCACACAGAAAGAAGCATGTGTTAAGTCACTGGAATGTACACACATATCGGAGACACAATGAGGAAGGTCATTCTTAGGATGCAATTTGAAAAAAACAAAAAACAAAACAAAGAATCAGCCATATGCTTAAGTCGTTGCTGCACGTCTGCCGTTTCTGCATCTCACATCAAAATGAGGACACCGGACGTAAGACCTGCTGCAAAACGACACTGTGCCGTGGTTACATAATCTTTGCACTAGTAATGTAGCTGTTACTGTGCCCTGTATCTCATAAAAGCAGCAAATTTAGTTGTTCTGCTTTAACCAGAATACAGTGTTCCCCCTCCTAAGCCCACACGTTTCAGCCCACCCATCCTCTTCTTGCCTATCAGTCCTGGCCTTATTCCATTCAAACTTTTCACAGATGGGAACAGAATTGTGTTGATGTGCATTCCATATTCAGTGTACATGCATCAGTCACACCACAGACCAGGGCGTCAGAGGGTCAGAGGTGGAAATGACAGACCTGGGCTCTTTATACATGCAAGGATACGTGAATATAAGATCCCATATCTGAGCTGGCAGTGCAAAACAGGGCAGCAGTAATCAAATGAACTAACATCCAGGCTGTGTTGCATGGTGTGGTTACGGTTGCCTGGCTATTTATATGTGTCCCTCCTTCAGAGAAGGAAGTCGCTCCTATTGGATCCAGATGTGAGCGGAAGGACAGACAACAGCTCGACTGAAAGGTAACAGCCTGGATCCAGTTGCTTAAACTACTGTGCTATCATTTAGGACACAGCAGCATTACTCCTAATGGCAAGGACAAAAACATTACTACACATGTACTACCACATAGACTACATTTGTCTTTGAAGTGTATCATAAATGAGAAGGTGGACGGATGTGAATTTTAAAAATGTGTCTAAATAAGTCAACATTCACACATTTAAGCGTTTCTGAGAGGTGAACGTCACCGCTCACCTGAGGCTTCAAGGGTTCAATTACGCTCTCGGCCAGCCAACTACCATAACTTAACACTGCTCTCCTCCTCCCTCTGTTTAGCCACAGTACTTGAATGTCAGCAAGTGCCTGTGAAGCAGGACTAAATGTGTTGTGACCGCTGGTGGTGATTTGCTGGTAGGCAGCACCCCAGTGGGCCATGAGCCAATTGATCTACTAGTAGATCCCATGACACATGATCAATTCTTAGGCCGGTCTCCTAAGAGCTAGGGTCTACAGGCATTTTCACATGCCCTCTGGACTGGGTCAGGAGAATCAGGACAATACTTGTGTCATGGTCTACGGTGGGTGGCTGGAGTTTCCATTAGGCTCCTGAACTGACCTGGGATCCGCCCCTGGGCAGGGCCAACTCCAGCTCCTGCACACCTGGAGCCTATTGTAGGCTATCAAGCCAGAGGGATTTAAACCACACATCGATGTTCACTCACTGCCAGTTCGTCATCAACCCATGTTGGTAACAGGTCTTGTGTTTCAAATTCTCGCTGTGATTCATCTTACTAACAAAGACTCTTTTGTGCTACAGTTGCTGTACCCACCCTGGCTCACTCCACCTCCGGACTTGGAATACCTAGTGATCATTTTGGAAATCCCTCTGTGCCTCACCTGCCTGCCCTCCTGCCATCACACTCCATCTGGAGCCCCGGATCTCAGGTCAGCCTTTCCACGCCACTCAGCCTCCCCTGGATCTTCATCATCCCCCTCTCAAACACTCCAGGTCCCTAACTGCAAGTAAGAATTGCTGCTCTTATACTGGCCACTTCTGAGCTGCCTTCACTACCTGCCTAACTTCTATATCCTCTCCCCTCAGTGTGACTGTTCCCCACTCAGCTCCGTTCCACTTCTCAGGCCTCGTTCCCTCGCCCTAGCCACGTTCCCCTGGGCACGCCACACCAAGGCTCCACGTCTCGTCATTTTCTGTCTTTGCCACGTTTCCCTTTTTTTTGTTCCCCTTGCACTTAACCGTAATAAACTATTAAATCATCTACTGTCTCCGCTCTGGGTTTCTGCACCTGAGTCCTATTCAGTACCGGCCATCCGTCGCCGTGACAACTTGTACATGTAGGAGGCAATCTGCTGCACATGCATTCTCACTATTACACAGAACATCTATAGAGTACAAATACTATGCTTGGTTTGGGTGAAGGTGCTGCCCGGGTTCAGGGTGCACACATAATGCCCACTGAACAAGTTCTCTATTCTCCAGACAGTTACTTTCGCTATTCTACATGGGTCCACACAGACTCTGTAGTAGGATGCTGTCAGTTTAGAGACTCTTTAATTGTATTCTTAGAACATCTCCACCAGAGATTTTAAAACACAGGTGTCGAACTCCAGGCCTCGAGGGCCGTTGTCCTGCAGGTTTTAGATGTGTCCTTGATCCAACACAGCTGATTCAAATGGCTAAATGACCTCCTCAACATGTCTTGAAGTTCTCCAGATGCCTGCTAATGAACAAATCATTTGACTCAGGTGTGTTGACCCAGGGTGAGATCTAAAACCTGCAGGACACCGGCCCTCGAGTTCGACACCCCTGGTTTAAAGGAAAGTTGAGCTGAGAGAAGAGAGGATATGATGTCCTGGATATGTTTTGTACAGAATGAGCTGAAATGATAGAATAACTTGTCCATCTGTTCAGTGTACAGTTTCATTCTTTTCTTGTTCTTCTGTCTTCTTACAGCCACCGGACATGATGTGGCAGACAATAGAGGCCGTGGACAGCTGTTAATCTAGTAACATCTGGCTCCGTCAACCCACATTTTTCTCTCCCATAGTGAATGGATACGGACTATTCTCAGAAATGACATGGTGATCCCTTGATCCGCTCTTGCATCAGATATGTCTGGCATGAGATAGCTGAAGCTAGCACAGACGTGTGCACACACACACACACACACACATACAAGCATCATTTGCGGTTATGGGGCATGAGACATGAGGTCTCAACAGGAGCCATTGTAGACTGCACTACCAGGCAGCCACACTGGGGCCCAATCACCCCTCTGATATGGCTCGAGTCTGAACACCTACGTCAGCCCACAAGCAGCCCGCGTGACGTCAAGCACATGTGTGCTTTGACCAGAAGCCTGCACGAGTTGGTTTCACACAGAGAACGAAAAGGAGGACGGAAAGGGAAGAGAGCACAATCTTGATGTCTCAACTATTTGTAGCCCCTAAAACAGAAAGTGAGATCAGCTTTGATTAGAACACGCAAAATAAAACAGCAGTATTAGTATTTCGCAGCAAGCATCACTGTCAGTCTAATGGTATAATTATACGTCTGCTCTCATATAACTCTGAGGCATTCTTGGTGCCCACAGTAGGCCAATGTTCAAATAAAATAGCACTCTCTGGTTGACCAGCAGCTGCTGGCTTATATATAAAGAGAAGTGATACAGATGCCAAAGGAGACAGCAATAAAAGTAAATCATTTCACCAGTCAAGGGTACATCATGTCAGATCGAATGGGCGGGTTTCTTGGAATAAAAAAAAAAATCAGACCTTTGTAAGTCAATATTGCCCTTTGTTCTTTGTGCTTCTTGTGTAATACAATGTTGTATTCTGTTTTCTGCGTCAGCGCAGGGTAACGGAATACAACAGTCGTGTCTGGTGTTGTATTACATTAGCTAATAAATGACATCCTGATGCTGAGTTAACTTTGTTGTCTGTTTGGCTGGATAAAATGTGCCAGAAGGAATGTCTCAAAGGCAAGAAAACACACAGAAAAAAAAGTAGGTTTGGCCATGAAATTAAATCTTGATCTTTCTCTATCACTGACACAGCCACAAAAACACCCCTGCACCCTCCTGGTACCCATTCTGCTGGCTCCAACCGCCAAGGCCACCCGCCACGAGGGAAGCAGCAGAACGGTCCGGTTTCCACAAGCCTACGTGCTGCACAACACAACCACATAACTGCGTACATTGGGGTGGGGGGGTTGGGGGTGGGTGGAGGGGGGTGTCTACCCTCACAGTGCACCCCATCACCCTCAATCACGACACAAAGACGTAAAAACACTTTGGCACGGGGTACAGCATGCACGCATGCGTCGATAATGCTTTCTTAATGATTTTTGCCACTGTCTAGTCAAAAGAGGACATATCGTCACTGGTCCACAATATTCACCCATCAATACATTACAAAACAGTTTTGAACTTGAAGCCGTTGACCAATGAGGAGTAAAGACTAATGTGCTTAAGTCAGAGACCAGACTGCCCACTGCTCTCGTAAGCCTGTTTGACCAGCTGTCTATCTTCCTAAAGACAGACTGGAGAGCACTTTGCGTACACACACCCACCCACTTGAGGGAGGGAGCACCAAAGGCACTCCAACTTCCAGACATCCGTCCCATCTGCTCGACCAACCGCCAAAATCAAATCACAACAACAGGAGAGGACCTGCGCTTGGCTTCCCTCTTTTAACCTCAAGGAATTAACCCTTTGAGGTTATGCGTGACAACCTTGAGCATAGCCCTAATTCTAACTGTGGGCATTCGAAATATCCTATTTCTCTTTTTATTAAGTAGTTCTTCAAATTAGTGGCAATCAGGGAACAAAGGAAATAACCTTTCTAACTGAGAGAAAGGTCAGGAGTTAGGATTACCATCTAAGACGTCTTAGAACTCAGAAGGTTAAAACATGCACATTTCTCTTCATAACACATCTAATGTACAAGTTTCCAAGTGCTAAAAAGGCTCTGAGTCAACTATTAAATCTAATGTGTATGCTCACTCAGTGGTCACTTCATTAGATGCACCTGCTCAAGTGTTCAGTAACGTAAACTTCTAATCAGCCAGTCACGTAGCAGCAAACAACTGGATTTGGGCATGTAAATATGATCAAGTTCAAACCAAGCATCAGAATGGAATAGAAAGGTGATTTAAGTGACTTTGAGCATGGCATGGTTTTAATGGCATGAGTATTGCAGAATCTGCTGATGTGCTGAACTATTCTCACACAACAGTCTCTAAGGTTTACAGAGAATGGTCCAAGAAAGAGAAAATATCCAGCGAAAAAGGCAACGTTGATATCAGAGATCAGAAAGAAAGGCCAAACCCCTTCAGGTGGTGGGCAACAGTAACTACTAATCATTTTTTACAAGCATGGTGCAGAAGAGCACCTTGAAGCAGATGGGCTACAGCAGCAGAAGTGCACAATGGGTGCCACTCCTGTCAGCTAAGTCAGGCTCACAAAAATTAGACAACCTAAGACTGAAAAAAAAACTTTGCCGGGTCTCATGAGGCTCAGTTTTTGTCAATATTAACCAAAATCTCAGAGGACGTTTAGAGCACCTTGATTAGTCTATACCCTGGAGGCGAAAGGGGATCCAACCTGGCAACAGCAAAGTGTAACTAGTGAAGTGGCCAGTGAACATATAGTTCAACTTTAATAGAGAATTTGCAATATTAATCTTTATTATTTATATACATTTTTGTCTATCTCGATTGTAAAACATTGTGTTATCCCTGGTATTCAGCCCACACATACTCTCAACACTGTACATGCCTTCTCTAAATCTGAAGCCGTGATTCCATTTCATTGAACTTGCAGTGTACATTACTACTCGAGAGCACGTTAGGTGTGAAGGCAGGAGCTATAAGTGAAGAGAGGTTGTGAGTGCACCTTGCAAAGAGTGTGTTTCAGCCTCAGGACTGCATTTTCCACAACACTCCTGCAATTCAGAGCTGCCGAAGAACATGCTCAACTCATTAGAGCAGAGTTCGTTAAACCTTTCTCATCAATGTACCTGCACTCTGCTCTCCATCCTCCCACGTTTACTCTGTTATTAACCAGACAGCGCTGTGAGATAAATGACTACATTAATCGTCTTTGATAGCTCAGGGATTTTCCTTGTTCGCGGGCGGGAACAGTATACGGTACACGGTGATGGTCAGGGCCATTTTGTAAAACTGCGTACGTGTCTCTCCCTGTGTGCAAATGTGTGCAGGGACTGAAAGCAGCGGAGTTTGGATCACTGCTTGATGGATAATTTGTCCCTGCGTGTTCAGTGTCTCTGCTGTAAATGAAACACATGGGACATGGCAGCAGGCTCTTAACCCCACTTTGTCCGATGGCTGTGTTTGCTCTTTGCGCTCTCCCTCTCTCGTCAGAGGTGAGCCTCTAGTTCTCAGATTGCCGCAGCTGTCAGGGAAGACCCGAAGGACTCTGGCTGTTTCCTCAGTTCACAGAGGAGTTAATGCTCTCTGGCTTTTTCACTTGCAGAACCATATTTTTCCTTTCCTCTGTATCCTCTTCCTTCCTTGGGGGTATGCTGTGAAGTTGTAAACCTGAGCCACAGGTGTCCAGCAGTGAAACGCGTTTTGCCCCCACCCCAAACGCATCTGGGAGATCTTATAGTTCTTTCACCCAAAGCATCAGTTTAGCATACAGTTTATGAGAGCAATGCAGGCAGGGCTTGTTGTGCAGTAATGTTGTATTATTATGGCACCTTTCTCCTGAGGGTACCTCTAATCCAGTTACAGATTTAAACAAGGGAAATGGTTCCAAGGCATCCATCCCACTTATCCTTGGATCACAGGGAGAACAGAAAAGCTTGTTGCCAATCCTGCAGGGACTTCAAAGGGTTCAACCGTCCAAACATTTGTAGAAATTTGTGGAATTCAGCATACTTGATTGCACCTGAACTACAATAATACCTAAATTCCAGCTCGTTAATTAAATCCTGTGATGAAACCAACAAAACACTGAAACCTGGTTTGTGGGAGGCATGTGGAGGCAGAGGACCACCTCTGTTAATTCTAATGTTTTTAACAAAACAGCAGGAAAAGTGCAAAACACAGATTTTTACTGTAATCAATTATTAACAATAGCATTAACAGTTATTAACAGTTGTAACAAGAACACTGACAACTGTTTTAAATACATTCCACATCATGCATGAATCCGTTTCCTAGATCTAAAAGGATAGCTGGCTGCAGATTAGCTTCTGATATTTTTTAATAACATTAAGGCAACAGCTTTTAAATTTAATACTTTCAGTTCATATTCTGTAGTGAAAATATGATGCAAAATGTCCAATTTTGCCCTATGTCTTAATAGAAAATGGCAAAAGTAACAATGTTAATCATTTGAAGTTGGGTTAAATTCTGTCTATATTAACAGGCAAAAATCAAATATATAAAAAAAACACAAAGAAAATCCCATAAACTCCTTGGCGGAGGTATGAGAAGAACAACATGATCTTCTTCCTGATTTTCAGGAAGAACACAATCCATTATTGCCGGATAATTGCCACACATAGAAACCATCAATAGTTCATACAGCTCTAAGCCGAGCCAACACACATACAGTAAATGCTTGATGTGCACAA